TTGGTTTCTTTCTGGGTGTACTTACATGTATTTGCAGATGGAGAAACTACAAGCAAGAAAATAACTTGGTGGAAAATGTAGGGTCTGGATTGTTTAAATTATATTTTAAGCCTGATTGCACCCTGGCCCTTGGAACTCCAGGCATGATCCCTTCTAGTAACTAAAATGATTTGAATGTTATGGAGCAAAGTTATATTTAGTTTGTATTTGGAGAAAGAATAACAACCAGGCGCGGGGGGAGGCAGCTGCATTCTCGTCACTTCTTCCCAAGTCACATCCACGGATGTCAAACCTCACCCTTCCCCCTTGGCCAAAATATTAAGAAATGATTCTCTCAAACTATTGGGTTGAAGAAAACCTGCCCCCACTGAGTTTGTGTCGAGGTAGGGCTTAATTTATCATAACAGCTCCTTCTGTTTGCACAGGCTGTGAAGTCAGCTGCACCCTCTCCAGCGTGTTGCGGCTTAAAAGGCTGTTTCTCAGCAGCGCCCTGTGGCCATAGAGAGCTGCCTTTGCATAATGGAAAATCAAGAGTCAAAACAAGAAATGGTGGTTGTTTTCTCTCCCCACCATTCCCCCCTCCCCTCCTAACTCTACAAATGTGTAAAAATCTGTGCCACCAATTTTGGTGGAATATCTACCTGAGGCCTTGGTTTTGGCCCCTTCTCCCATATGTCATGGCAAAATGCTGCAGGAAGTTATCTTTGTCTCCAGGAGCATCAGAGGTTGCAGATTCTCAGCGCTTCCAAAGGCTGATTTTTTCAAGAGTCACTGCCTAATGGCTAAGAAATCAGGGGAAGTATGGTGTAGGGACACCTCCCCCAGGATTTACACCCAGGGCCAGAGAGCACTGATCTCTCCTGCTCTGTCTTGAAAGGATCCAGCGTGGAGCTTTGGCCCATGGGTGCGGGCACATGGCAACTCACGGGATCCCCCCCATAGCCAGAAAGATGGTATGTATATATTGACATTAAAAAAAATTGTGTTGGTAGATATATATATTCACAATTTTAACAGTCTGGTTTAACAAAATGATTTCAGGTTTCAAAACAATCCCTTATGGTGTTGCGATCCAGCTCTTGTGGTGTTGCCCTAATGCATAACCCACAAAAAAGGCAAGAGCGGCAGTACAGCAAGCAGCTACAGGGTATTGCTCTCAAAATACATTAGATCATTTCTGCTTACATACAACACAAAGCTGGAGTCTACACAAAGCTGGAGTCTACACAAGGCTGAGATCGTGACACTGGCTGCTTGGGGAGTAATTGCGTCTGCTTTTTAATGCTGCATTAGAGCACAGGACAGAAGCCGGCAGTGGCAAGGGATGGGAAGTCGGCAGCAGCCAGGGTTCAGACTTTTTTTACCTCACTGGCAGCTGTAGGTGAAGCAGCAGGTGCTTTCCTGCGATTTTGCCTCTCTAAGCAGCTGTAGAAATGTATCCAGCCCGCAGGGCCGCGGGCTGTGCCCTGGGCTCTGCTCCCATGCCGCCGCACTCAGCTGTGAGCGTGTGCGTGCCCCAGCCCCGCGGGAGGCAGCCGCCGAGGGACCCCCCCAAATCAACGCCTTGGGTGAGCTGGCAGCTATTGGGCACTCTGCTCTCATGGCCACCTCCCTGGCATATTATGGGCCAGTTCTGCAAGGTGGGGAGCTCCCTTCAATACCAGTGGTGCACATAAGAAATTGGGGTGCTCAGCATTTTTTTACTACATCTTTTTGCTCTGTTCATATAGTAGAAGATAGAACTGCCATGGAGAAGCCCTGGAAATTAAACTCCAGGGGAACCTGAGGGGTTCTGGACAGCTTAATGTATGGATTCAGAGGGGGAATACATTTCTATCTGGATAGCGTGGGATTTCCGGGGTACGCCATGTGAGGCAGCTCTGTGTCAGCAGCACCTACGGCACAAGGGATGGCGCAGAAGGGCCTTTTTGCAAAACACTCTTCCCCCTCTCCACTGCCTACCCTCCAAATACTGACAGCGCAGACTGGCGAGATGTGCCAAAGTGTATCTTGACTTGAAAAGCATTCATCTGTCACTGTTGCAGTCCCAAGGCAGGGCTGTGCAGATACGTAGTGAAATAAGACCCAGTGGATGCCTGTACATTAGAAAGATAGACAGAGATCCGTGATGATATCAACATTTTATTCTTGCTGTAGCCATCTACAGGAGGTCCAGCTATCTATCGTTGGCTTGCCAGGGCCTCTGAAGCCTCTGGCATATGCGAAGGCACTGATTCCAGAGAGAGTGTACTGCTTGCACAGAAAGTTATTAAAGCAAAGATGATAGGTAATAAAATGTGCATGTTTACAGCACCAAATGAACAGAAGTAAGGTATTAACATCTATGTCCTGAAGCTGTACCTCATTGAGAAGTGCATGCAGCTGTACCCAGAAAGATTCAGAGCAGGAAAAAGAGTGGGGGGAAATTTTTATTCCTCATCCCAAGAAAAATCGCTGGAGGGGCTAATGAAGGCCTGCAAAGGACTGTGCTAGTGTTTTTCTTCTCAGGCAGAAAGGCTTCAAGAAACGCACCCTTTTCTAAATGTCATAAAGGTCTACGCATAGATCCTGTGACAGAGAGCGATCCAACAATTCCTCAGAACGAAAGGTCAATCAAAGGAAAATGGCATTTAGTAGGACCAAGCTTACCACTGACCCAAACATGTGACAGATCCAGAGGCAACTCTGGTGCCATCAGGAGAGCCGCTTGTGCAGCCTGCCCCAATGAGGCACATGACGTGACTGGGAAACTATCTAATTCCTCCAGGTCTCAAAATTCATCAGGAGTCAACCTGAATGTCGGAAGGAAAGGGATTTTGAAGGAGCTACAGCAGGTTTCCAAGCTGGGAGGCGGGTGCTCTCTCTCCACTGTCCCTGCTTGCCCTGCACCGAACAATTTTCCCTAGCACTAATTATAGATCTGTTTTTGCCATTTGAATATGCATGGAGTAGTATCCTGGCTCACAAATAGATTGCAATGAAGCTACTTTTAAAGTTTGACTTGGTTTGGTAGGGCTCTAGGTCATAAACGGCCTCTCCAAGGGCCAACCCAGAATTTCAGCAAGGCTGTGGACTTGTCTGGACATTTCTGCTCCTTTATGCTGAGTGAGACACTGCACCATGTAGTGAAATGTAGCAGAATTTGGGGCTGGATCCTCACCTGGTGTTTGTGAATTCTGCTTTATCGAAGCCAACACACACAACCCCTCTGGAAATGGGTGGATTTCCTCTTTAAAAGATTCAGCAACGCAATGTGTCAGATCAGCATTCAAAGGATCTTGGGATTATCTCTCCATCCTCAGAGCTGGTTGGAGATCTCCCAAGGTGAAGAACATTAACAGTGTGGTTTTCAGTGCTTAGAAAGACCTGGACGGGCAGGATTTCTCACAGTGTTTTGTCACTCTCCTTGGAGTCTGGGAGGGCACCATCACTTCCAAGATGCTGTCCCACAGGTGTCTGCAGAAGCTGTGCAGGGATGGGTGTTATCTTTGCCAGGGACTGACTTTTTCAGAATAAATGCTCTCAAGATCCCCACTTCAGGTCTTCAACAGTTCATCAGAATCTGAGAGTGTCTAAGACCCATCGGTTTAACCTGGCTCTTATTTAAACTAAATGAGTTTCAAGCTAGTTCATGACTCTTTTCTCAGCTTGAGCAGCACTTCTGTTCACCAGCAAAGCTGCGAAATTAATGGATGCGATTCAACATGAGTAACTGCGACAGCAGCACTGTAGTCATTCATGAGCTGGACTGCCTTAGTCATGCTGGGGAGAATTCAGGCAGATGTTGGAATAATAGGAATTAGTCATGAGGAAGTGCAAATATGAGCTCTGTAGCTTATCCCATGTGGGTCCAATCCTGCAAAACACTAGGAACAGGAATAAAATATGACAGAACAGTTCCAAATCCCTCAAACATCTTGTGGGTTTTGGGTGCAACTCAGCATCAGCAATCCTTAGCAAAACATTTTGTCCTTATGCAAGAGCAGGGCACTTATTATCACACCCATTAATAGTCTATTCTGGGAAGAGCATTAGTATTGCAGTTTTTGTGGGGAACTTGTGCAACTAATGAAAAGGCAGAACAGGCAGATGCAGGAAAAAGACTCTCTGCTTCAACTTTTCAGAGCCTTGGGAAGAAATTCAGGTTTGAATTCAGCTATGGGACCATTCCCACTATTGGAGTCTTTATCACTTCGTTTTTCTGAGTGTTGGCCTGTCCCAGTGCATCCTGTTATCATGTGGCAACCAGTGTGTTCACTCTGTGGCATTCCAGGGACACTCTGTTTTGCGTGAAATTATCACCTTTTACAAAGAACAAATATTTGTCGGACAGGTCAAACCAGAAGCATCGCCAAGGCAATTTATAAAAATATCTTCTTTTGGACTGTAGGCAATGTTAACATGTCAAGCTATGCTGTATCTTTCGGTGAAGCGCTACCCAATGAATGCTTTATGTCTGACAACTGCAGGCTTATGTGTCTCAGATAAAGCCCATCTGGTGACTATTAAAGGGAATTACTGTACATACAACATAAAAGGATTATAACTTCTTTGGGGGGGGGGGAAGTGTTTTGTTTTAAGTACCAATGCTGTTACTAATTTTGCCTTCAGGGTAGGTGTTAAGTTTAAAACAACTACAGTTGCTTTAACAAATACAGCTGAACAGTTAGTGTGTTGGACTCCTCCTTGCTATAAGAAAATGAGGGTGCTTTGGAAAAGCAAAAGAGACTCAGCACCAGGCTTCCCTGGTGGGTTAGCATGAGCTGCTGCTGATGGCAAGGCTACAGCTTCAGGTCTTGCACAAACCGGTATCTGTTGTTGTACCCCTCTGTATTTGCCAGCATTTTTAGCCTTGGTTGTAAGTGATTTTTGCTAAACACTTTTCACTATATCTCTGTATAGCAGTCAGCATAATGCCCTGACTGATGACTGGTCTTTAAATCAGTGTTATAGCACTGGAAAAAGCAATAACTGCTCTTCCTCTCTCTGTTCTTTCTTAGGCCCCCCAAGGATTGCTGATAAAGTGATTCACCGTCAGTCCGTGAGGTTAGGGAGGACCATCAAGCTCCTGTGCCCAGTGGAGGGTGATCCCCCTCCTCTCACCATGTGGATGAAGGATGGACGCACTATCCACAGCGGCTGGACAAGGTTCCGAATCCTTCAGCAAGGGCTGAAAATCAAGGAGGTGGAAAGTGAAGACGCGGGAACCTACATTTGTAAAGCCACCAATGGCTTCGGCAGCACCAATGTGAACTACACCCTCATCGTGATTGGTGAGTGGAGGTGGAGAAAAGCCAGGCCTCACCTGCTTTGGGGGACGAGAGAGAGCTGATTTCTGCGTAACTATCAATGATTGCAGATTTGCTTTGCTGATCATTTACTGACCTCCACTCTTAACTGGCCCTTTCCAGTGTTTGAGGATTGCCAGAGCTGGCTATGTTGCTGCACATCTTCTGCTTCAGCCGGCTGCAGGCAGATAAGATTACGCAGTGCCAAAGGTTACAAATAAACAGAAATGATGCAATAGTCACTAGGGTCCAGATCACAATGAATTCCACACAGGAAAGGCTGTGCGATAAGGAGAGGTCACACTGATCTTTATGTTTGCTGTTGGAACAGGATAGTTCTCAAAACAAATGTTAAGGCACCCATATAAAAACACACATCTGGAAGATCCATGTGCTGAGCTTTTGCAAAGCATGGTGTCTTCAGGAATAATAATATTTAGATTGAAACAAAGCTCAGAGCTGGCATATGACCCAGGGATGCTCAGTTCCTGAGAAATCCCCTTGGTGAAGGCAGGATTAAAAAAGCTTCAGATGCCATCTTGGTGACCACGGGTTCTCTGGCTGTGCTTTTGACCAGCTTCAAAGGGCTTGCTTGGCCTGACAATGGGATTTTGGGGTCACCTGCTGGGCTGAGCATTTCTGAAGGCCCCCAAAGACACTTCTCTCGGTAATCAGAGATTCCTCTGCTCTGGCTGCCACAGAAATATGCTTATTGCTCCTTGCCTTTGAGGAATGAAATTTGGCATGCTGGAGGATGCTGAGGGAGCAAAGGAGAGGGTTACGAAGCAGGGGGTGAAATCAGGTATCTTGCTCACCCTGTTGCCTGATCAGCACCCCCAGTATCTGGTCTACAAAGGTCTGTTTCTCTCAGACAGTGGAATTGAGGACAGAATTTAGGGCAATTTCCAGCTGCCTACTGGTTGGCACTTGGCCTGTTTTTGTTCTATTTCTTCTTCTTCACCTTCACAGTAAGAGGGCTGCTGTGGACTCAGGACATGTAGCAAACACTTGGTGCTGCTTGATGGAGGATTATCACCCGATAACGGAGTGATTCTTGGAGAATGCACTTTGCTGCAGAGCCAGGATGGGAGAGAGACCAGAATGTAAATGTCTTATCAGGAAAGAGATGCTGAGGTGAGGGAAAACCTCTTGCTATAAGACTCCTGTAGCATGAGTGGGATAAAGCCGCAAAAGCTGTATTATAGTTTACATAGTTTGCAGATTTGGTTTTCCTCGTTCACCTCTTTCCTATCCACATTCATTCATCTTTCTTTGCTACACTGAGCAAAAAGGGTGAAGTGGAAATAGTCTATAAAGAGTCATGTCTATACAGACTCCTTTTGGACATGTTTTCCAGACTGTTTGGTGTGGAGAAAGGAATGCTAGAGGAGCCTGCTTCAGTCCTGCTTGTGCTTTTGCAGTATGTGGAGGTTGCCAAAGTTTTTGATCTTCTGTGTCATCCAGTATCTTCTATAAAGCTCAGGGCCCAAGCCAGCTCCCATTATTCCAAGGCAAAGAGGCATCGAAGACATCTGCAAGTCAAAGAAGGCTCTGACTATTCTTAGTAGCATAACAGAAACAAATGAAAGGGAAAAGCCAGGAGGCACAGGGTAAAAGTTGAACTAGAATTCAGGAAAGATTGAGGCAAAACCTCCAATTCAGTTGCTCAGGGAAATTGGATTATCAAATTTAATTGTGTTAAGAACAATAGTGTTCATTATATTTGGCACTGAAAAGCCCTGGGCACAAACACTAGTTATTTGGAGCCTCATCAGGCAGCTATGGAAGGAAATGGCAAGCTCCCACTGGCTTCTGTGGGTGTGAGATTGAGCCCTGTGCAAACAAATATTGATCATCAAGTGCCAAGAAAAGGGTAACTTTAAACTAAATGTGTGGCAGACATATGGGCTGAGTTATCGTTCATCTCCATGCATCCTTGTTCTAATGCTGGCTAAAACCAGTACTCCTTAGACTCTTTGCATCTTCCTTCCTTGTCTCACAGTGTACCCTTGTGCATTGCTGTTGCTCAGACCATTTTTGATGGATTACTTATGTCCTTTGTCTCCAGTGGTACAGATGTGTTCATGTAATGTTTCAAACCAATTGCTTTTCACTAGAACAATTTCCCCTGAAAACAAATGTTCCCCTAGTGTCTTTCTTGCCAAGGTCTGCAAGTAAACACAAGGTATCACTGACTTATTCTTTCAAAGGATCCAAACATTTAATGAATTGGCCAGATGCTTGTGTTCGTCTTGGTGAAAATGCTTTTGGTTGAGAGCAAATCAATCCTTTGTTGATTTTTGAGAAGGAGGCAGTGTTTTAAGACCAACTGCATGTCAGTTTTGAGAATGAAGATCCAATTGATGGAGCTGTTTTGTTTGTGCTGTGGAAAGCACAAACTTCATTAGGCAGAGTGGCCTTTTGGGCCATATGGCGTCTCTATTCTCCCACTTCTTCAAAGGAGAAAAAGCCCTCTTATTCCAGCTTTATTGCTGACACCAATCATGTAAAACGATGCAGGTGTCAGACATGGGCAAGGTGGTTAAGATATTAAATCTAGAATAGCATCAAATGATTCATTAAACGTTGGGACTTGAAAAAATAAAATCCATTTTGCCATGGAATTTAAGCAGTAATATCTGGAATCTATACAGTAGCTTATTGAAAGATTTTGGAGTTATGCTGTGCGCTCTTAACTGAACTCTGCCACACCACTGGCAAGTGAGGAACTGTCACACCTGTGTTATATACGTGTACACTGCACCAGGATAAGGTGATGGTTTACATAAATTCCTACAGAGAGCTGAGACTAAAATTCAGCTGTCTTGAACCGTTCTGCCTGCACTCAGTGCTATATAACTGTTATTAATCTTAACTCTTATTAGTCTCTGTATTCTATTAGAGTATAGAGAAGCAACAAAAATCTGTGACATTGTACAAAGGAATAAAAAAAGGCAGTGGATCTGCCAACACGAGTGGCTGCTGGCAGGCACGGCAGAGGTGAGCTCCGTTGTCTGTGTTACAGGTTGGTCTCTGTGAGATGTAATAATTTTGGTATAAGCCTGTTCAAATGTCACTTTGTGGCTTTCATGACAGATCTTGCTTGCAACCAGCCAGCTCAGTTTATGAGCAGAACAAACTTAGGTCTGCCTCTGCATGTCTGGTAGACATACCTACACGTTGCCTGGCTGGAGGACTTCTCAGTGGGGATGAGAGAGATTACTGTGATTTTACAAATGGTAACTAAAGCAAAGAGAGACCAGATGATTAGTCCAAGACCACATAAAATATGAGCTGTGGCTCGGAGTTGAGTCTAAACCTCTTAAATCTCACCCTAAAAGACTATTCCTCCTTCATAACACTTGGTAAAGTCTTTTCTTCCTACTTTAGCATCTTCCTGCTGCTGTGTTGGAAGGGAGTCTTCTCTTATTCTAGGTTTTTGATCTTGCTTTTCAGACAAAGGTTTTGCCAACCCAGATGGTAGCAATTGGTTTCTGTCCTGCTTATTTCCCCATCTTCTCAGACTGCAGGGCCCAGATCCCAAAGATCCAAGGAATCCTGCTCTAATACACTCCTGCATGAAATGTAAGCCAGTAAAAGCAGATAACCAATATAAGTCAAAACTACAATTTCCTTTCCTAGCCAGCCTTAATAGTTTTTGTGGCTTACCACAAGATTTGGGATGCCAATTACACTGCAGACAGATTTACAAATCCTGGAAGAGGAACTTCTCTTTAATCAGTATTAAATCAGCATTGCAGTTATTAAGAACAATGGTTCCTTATTGTGGAGAATTATCTGTAGCTCATCAGAACAAATGTGCTGTACCTTCCCAAAAAGTTATTTGTACAATGATGCCCGTGAAAATCTTATCTTTAGGGTTTTTTCCCAGCTGAATCAATTCAGAAGAGGTGGTTTATAGCCTACAGGTGTGAAAAGTAACTTTATTTTGTTTTTAGATTCTTGGTTAAAACCTGTGGTTTCCTTACTGCAGAATAAAACTTCCTTGCAGTGTGTTCTAAAAGGAAGCCTAAGGCCAAAGAGGAAGAAACAAAATGTTGAATAGCTGCTCATTATTTGAAAACTGTCCACCTTGTGTGCTGAATGCAGGTATGTTCTGCAGAAAAAAAATAGCATGTGATGGTGTGACTGAAGCCTGTATCAAACTGCGGCCAGCCTGGAGAAACTGTGAGGCTGCACATATGGAGCCATCGCACGCTCCTGCTGTCAGGCTCTCCCTGCGAAATCTTAGCCCAAATGGGTGAGATTTGCCCAACTTATAAATTTATAACTGAAAACAAAGTCTTCTAACAAGGAGGTGCTGGACAACCTCCATTATCATCTCTTGCTGCGATAATAAACAGTATCACTCATTCCAGGAGTCTGGTCACTCTCTGAAGGGAAAATTGTTGGTGAAGAGCTGTAGGAAGGACTATTAGTAAATATTTATGCTGTAGCATAATGACCTCTTTCAGTACTGCGCAACACAGAGGACTTTTCACTTGAAGAAGTGTTATTGGCCAAATCCTGCAAGGTGTGCCAGCATTGCAACAGGCAGGGCTATTGCTACAGGTGCTGCCAGTAAATACTTCATCTTGCATCAGTTGCTCAACCAAGTGATGAAAGATCAAACTGTCTCTATTTTTGCATCTGCATGCATGTTTCTTATTACCTTGTGTAGCAAAGAAAAAGGAACAGCAACAAGAGTAGGGTTTTGGATTGTCTCTGCACTGTAGGCTTCTTACTTCACTTGGAGTTTGTAAACTGCCAAAGACGGATCTTGCTTGGGTGCATCTCAGCACAAAAAAAGATCAACATTTAAGTCCAAGGAACAGCTGCTCCAGTGTTTCTCTTTCTTGCTCTGTATCTCTGACTGCTGCAATTTTTTTTTTCTCTTCTTTGGGTTTATTTGGAGGAAGATTTTGGTGAAGAATCCATTGTCTGTCCAGTTCGTACACCCCTCTGGTGCATGGCCCTCTGAGTGA